TTTTGTGTTTAGATTTGTTAAAAAAAATGAATATGTAATAATTTAGTGAAGTTAAAAGTAGAATAGAAAAGTTTACTAAAAAAAAATACTTATTGATGTAAAGAATTTATATTTAAACAATTTCTAACAAAATGTAATCAAAAGAATGAAGAATTAAAACATAATGTATAAATTGACAAAGAAAAATGTAAAATTTTTGCTTTAAGAAATTCCAATGATAAATTGAAATATAATAAGTTAATATTGTGAAGATTAAAATTCATATAATATTTACAATATTAACTGTATATTTTTTTAAATTTTGTGTTTAGATTTGTTAAAAAAATGAATATGTAATAATTTGGCTAGTTATGAAAACAAATGATAATATTGGAGGTGACGCCATGAGCGTTTCTATTGGTTATCTATGAAGCTATTTGAGATGATGCGAGTAGTGGTAATTAGTTGGTATAGTAGAAGACGCGGGAAATAGTGAATGTAGATTAGTTAGTTGTTTATAGTAACAATAACAATAGTGACTCACTACTGGCGCGGGTAATTCTCTTTTTGCGTGGAGTTGGTTCCGTCGAGTCGGATGAGCTCTTGGAGAGCACCTCCTGCTTCACGAGAATCCGCGCCTTAGTGGAACAATACTTGACGGCCTTACTCGGCAGATATTCGTCGTCGTCCCCGAAGATGTCCTCCCTGAAGCGACGCCATCTTCGCAATGTCGAATACGGCACCCCGAACCTCTCTGCGGCGATCCTGTTGCCGCTCTGCTCGGCGCAAAGAATAACCGTCTGCTTGAATCTCGGATCAGATTTCGGACCCTTGTAGTCCTTGTACCGTTTCACCAAACTCGCGAAGTTCATCGTCCTTCCTCCAAACGCGCGACGATAACTCAATACTTTATTATATCTATCTTATAAATAAATAACTTCTCAACCGAATTGAACGAAATTGATCAAAATGGTCGCTCCGCAAAACAAAAACAAAAAACCCTATAACCTAACAGACGAAATGTCAGTTGTGATTATTGGATATGCTTATGTATTTTTCATCTGTTTTTATCTCTCTCTCTCTCTCTTCAGCTTTCTTTTCGGTTTTACACGAACGGCGACGATCCGCACCAAAACCCGTTTCGCACCGAAAGGGCCGAAACGGTTGCAAAATTGTATATATATATATACAATATGTAGGTTCACGTTTGCATCCACGTGCATAAAGTAAAAAACCTCGTTTCACCACCGACAAACTGTCATGAAATCGATTTTGCGTTGTCACGGGCGCGCACACTGTCGACTAATATTTCGGCCGAAATCGATCGGTTTTGTGGCCAAAAATTTCACCGAAACGCCATTTTAGGAACTTTTTGCGCGCTTAGTGTGTTAGTTCGATCGTGCGCGCCATACACCAGTGACCCTAAACTGTAAACCAATCATTACGCAATAATTTTCAACATTTCCTAATCGTAGTCTTATTCATTTTATTTTTTAGACACAAAACTTATCATCATTAAAAGAACTCAGATTTAAAATTGTCCATTTTATCAACAACAACAAAAAACTACTTATTTCTTTCTTTTTACCAAAATTTTGTAGATTCCAATTTTCAACATTTCCAATTTCTCCAATTCAAAGAAAATGTCACAAAATGTATATTACTTATTACATTTTTTTTTGTTGTCGTTAAGAAAAACACACAATTTTGTGGATTAACTTTATCAAATTTAAAAAATTGTAAATCAAATAATCTGAGATATAAAAGTATACTCAACGTAAAGAGGCGATTAATTTATAGTGTGTAAGTTTCAATTTCTCATTTCTCCAAACACATCTTTCAATCATTTAATTATTGTTGAGCTGCTTTTCTTTTATATATTATATATTTTTGTTTTTATGTACTTTTCTATATATTTATATGATTTTTACCTTGTTTATTTACTATTATTTCACTTGCTTTTTATTTATGGGCTAATTGTGCATGCCCGGGGGAATTTTGTACTTTATATTTATTTTATTTTTTTCGGGACCGAAGGAAGAACAGTTGATCTTTTGTTTTTTACTTGGAAAAACTAATTCGGTTCCCTTTGGCCAAATGTACTCATTGTAAATTTGTTTTATTTTATTTTCTTTGTATCTGTTCTTTTGGTCAATAAACTTGATTATTATTATTATTATAATCTTTAAAGTTAATAAATTAACTTAAAACTTCTCATTTTAATTGAAACAAATAAACTAAGTATTTAAAATTTATACTAAATACTGAATGCATTCAATATTAGAGAATATAATGTATTGATTACCTTCATCATCTAAAATACAGGTGACTTGATTATCTTCGGATTGTCGGCATCTGGCCAAAGCGACGGAATGAGGATCCGGCACATGGTTGTGCGGCATATTCACGTGAGGCACGCCGTTTCCCGTTGAAATGCTTCCCTAGAAACAACAAAAATAAAACTTAAATTAGTTACAAATTATACAAAGAAATTTAGAAAATTATATTTATATATATCTTATTTTCTAGTTTAAGAATATTATATTTTAAGCTGTGTATACAATAATATGGTACAGTGGTACCTCGGTTTGCGACGAAGATTCGTTCCAAAAATATCGCTGTAATCCATCATTCTGAATGCCACTTCTCCTCTTAAAGTTGTCAAACCATCCTCTGCTCGCCTTGAAGCCTCCTTCCTCGTTTCCAGCAGACGTACCTGGCTGCATACATACGAGGTCCGCGTACAAAGCTTTCGCCTTCTCACAGATCAACTGTTCCGTCACAGCGTCGCCTTCCCGTTGCTGCTCCTTTATCCACTCCAAAAGAAACTTTTCAATATCTTCCAGGATACGCGGTCGTTGCTTCGATATTCGCGTCACTCCTTTCGCCACATCTAGTCTCATCAGTTGTTCCTTATTCTTTAATATAGTGCAAATCGTCGACGTAGACTTGTTGTAATATCTTGCGATGGCCGCCACTTGCATGCCTTGTTCGTGCATCCCGATGATTTCCTTCTTAACTTCCACCGTAATCATCTCCTTCCTCCTGATGCCTTCCTTCTCAACTTTGATCTTCTTCGTTGGAGCCATCACGGTTAACACTACAATTCGGACACAAAATAACGCTTTACGAAATGGACGTGTGCCGACTGAGACCGAGCAGACGGTTACCCACAATACCGAGCGGCTGCTCGTGATCACGTGACTCGTATTACCAAGACCTCGCTCGATAAACGAGCGAGGCCACCATCATAACCTTGCAGTTAACATTTATCATTCATTTCTCCTCTTACAAAACACTCGCAATACAAGGTACCACTGTTATAAAAACAAAATGCAATAATTTGTTCATTTGTTTTTACATTTTGTTGAGTGCTTTTATTTTTCGAAAATTAAGTTTATAAGTACAATTACAAATTAACGTTACTTTAATAGAACCTTCATTTGTTTTTATAATTTCTTTATTGTCTTCATTCCAGACCTATTTTTCAATACATTTGCTTGGCTTTCTTTTAACTCATTAATCCAAACGTACAGAAGTTTCTTCACATCTGCAATCGTTGTTTAGACTTGTCGAACTCGGAATTTTCTATGAGATTCATTTGTACATAGCCACGATCTATTTCTTCTCTTCCATCGTGACTCTCCTCAATTGCCTTCTAGATTTACTGCTATCACTTTTAAGCGTTGCGGTATCCATGATTAAGGCTTAAATGTATAGAATCACTACCATGTGACTGAAACAACTGTTTATCGGGAATTTAAAGCATGCGCCAAGTAGTTGAAATTTTATACAGTTTGATTTAAATATGATATTAATTTGTTGTTCTCATCATTTAGTTGTTAGTCTATAACCGTTATTGTTTATATCATATTAACCCTTATTATTTTATTCATGTATATGTATGTACATCTTAATGACTTAGTAGAAATTACTTTCAGGAAGATTCTACAACTAATCAATATGTAACAAGAATTCCTAATCTGCATTGTATATAACGATAGTGGTTATACGATCGTTATATACAAATTAAGAAGTCCGTTCGATAATGACTACAAATATGTACATCAGCCTAAATACATATAAAAGATGTTTATGAAATACAAAGTTAGTTCTACTGAGTCCCCAGTACTAGTCCTAATAAAAACCATAGTAACAAACCAATGCTAAGTTGCTAAGAAACGTAGGTTTTCTTAGCAACTAGAATCTAGACCAAAAAGTTATTAATAACGTGATACAAAATAAATGAAGAAAAGCGAAATGTCAAAAATGATCGCATAACGATTAAATATTATGAATGATATCGTTTCATGACCCATTGATAACAGTAAAGTAACTGTACCGATCGGCACATGTTTCAATAATTTATTTACTTAACCTTAAAACTTTATTTACTTCTCATACATACGGAAATTAGTGATCTAGAAACTACAAAAAAAGTGCTTGCATTACAAGTACATGCCAAAATTTACAAGCAAAAATCATAATACTATTGTAATTTAATTAGATAAAATAAATAATATCCTAAATCTATTCAAGTATTGTCCGCACTGACGTTGCTTAACTTTCGCAATTTATTATAACAAAATATTCAACTACTTATTAATCTAATTTCCTAATGTTTAATAGCTTATTAATTGAAAGCAATATATTTTTTTCTACAAATCACGTTAACTGTTACGTGTTGCATTTCATTAAATTTGCTTCTAAAATGTATAATAATTTATTTTTTTTGGTAATTATTATTAATAATTCGGTTATTAATTAACTAATTCATCTATTTTAATTGTTTGCATTTAAAAATTTTCATTAATTTTATAATTTTACCGTGCTCTAATCGACTTGTTTCCTATTCGCAATTTTGATATTGTTATTCGCGCACCTTAGGCGTTCTGATCATCTAAACTCCACCTATCGCATTGCCAAAAAACATAGATGCACCAATGATATTGTTGAACTACCATTTTTGATATTACAAAACCAATCACGATCAACGCGTTATTTATTCTGATAGGTCAGTTTATCAGATTGGTTCAAAATCATTTTTTTTTGGTGTCATTCATTCTAAACGCTAAATATATTATTTTAAATATACATTTTATACTTGATTAATGTTCAATTAACAATTTTAATGAAATAGTTTTTGTTTTATAAGTCAATAACCGAAACGTTTGTATCTTTGGTTGCGTAATTTTTAAACTTAAACGATTAAACAAATTTATCAATTCAGTAAATGTAAAAACACAGAAATGTAATTTATTGATGTTTTCATTAGAAAATAAATATTTGAAATTGACTTGTTATAATAATTAACTAATTTCGATTTTCATTAGAGGATTTTGTTATCCTGCTGCGCAAAGATTCCATCCAGCTGTTAAGTGTCCTTGCAGATGTAGTAAATTTCTCATCTTTGTACCTTGCAATGAAGACTTCTGTGCGTGCACCTCCAGCGTACACCTCCGCTCTGCCTCTTCTTGTGGACGGTGTACATGTATCCTCTGTGGATGAGCTTCAGACCGCCCTTATTGGATCTGATGATCTCGACGTTATCCTCCATGTCTGGATGGAAACAGTTTGGCAGCCGCTGCACGCAAAGGGACCTAAATATAGAAATGTACACGCTGAAAATCAATACGTGCCATTTTCACGAGTAAAAACAAGTGAAAAAAAAAGAAACAAACTTGGAAAGCGCGGAGAGAGAGAGGCCCTTCCTTTTTTTTCGGGAAGCATCGGCCGCTCGGAAACGGCCAAAAGCTACTACTAAAGGGAAAATCCGCTTCCGCCTGTTTTGGGGGAATCCCTACGGCGCAGGAAAAACGGCACCTCGCGTGTCCTGCAAAATTGGGCACACTGCCTGGTAAATACCAGAGAAAGAGATAGAGCATGCGTTTTATATATATAGTCAAGGGCGGAACCAATCGTTTTTTTTTCCCTAAGCTAATTGTAAATAATAAGACAGGAAGGGTAAAAAGGGCCCATTTTGAAAATTGTTAATCAACCCTTGTGGATACCCAAATTCTCACTAATTAATGATATTAGTATACAATTTGTTTTATACACAAAATGATTGTTATTATGATATAATGAATAGTGTTTTTTCCTATTATTTCGTTAATAGTTTTGCGATTCGAATCGTTGGTTGCAGTGTGGCCAACGTTGGCGCGGATTCGAATTGGAATCGTTGGTGGAAGTGGAATCCGGAGGGCCCAGAGAATATTTGAAGCCTGTCAAAAAGTTAACCTAACATCCTGAGCAGGGGACAACAACAAGACGTAAATAGTGACGAGAACCGCTTTACTCTCTCTCAGACCAACAAAACGAGAAAAAAAAAACCCAATAAGATTAACACAGCTCCGCGATCGGAGAGCGTCCTCAAAAGTGCCTTCTTTAAACCGCTGTTCACGAGTTTACCATCGCAAAGACGGACGATCATGACGGAGACTCTGCCGTCAGTCCTGCAGGAAGATCTGTTGAGCATCAAATTGCTGCTCTGGGGCAATGACATAAAGGCAGACATCTTCAGCAGATGGTCACAAGGTGCGTTCCGTGAAGACGATTTCCAGCATTATTCTATTCTATTTTTTTTTTGCCTTTTTCTTTGTCCTTCTATGCAGGATTCTACTTCAGCCAGAATGAGCCGAGTGCCTTGGAGCAGACACATGGTGGTCCATGCTCCATCCTTGCCCCGGTGCAAGCATACATCATCAAAAACCTGCTCCTGGAGAATGAAACCTTTGACTCAAAGACTTCTGTAAGTGAAATACTTAATTACAGATTTACTATCCAATGTCTAATTCATAAATTGTGGGCTCAATTTTGAACCAATTGAAAATTTACAGGTTAAAAATTTTGTACCTGCTTTTTTTTTTTGCGCAGTTTTTTTCTCTAGAAACTTTTGCAATTTGCAGTTCTGAATGAAACCAAAAGATGGCTCATCCGTCAATTCAATTTAAATAAATCGCATTTTTTTTTTAGTATTACAATTCAACATTCTTATACTAAATCATATCAAAATTTAATAAAATAATTGAGTAATTTCAATTATACAATAATCTATCAATATTTGATACTAAACTTGATACTTGATACAAGTAATATGTGTTAAATAACAGTCTTATAATCACAAAGAATGACTCAACTCATTTTATTTCTGGATCATGTTCATCCTCTGTAATGTACACAAAAAACAGTTCTAAAGTCCTGTAAAACATTTACAAAAACTATATTTACACCAAGGAATATTAAAATTTAAAAATACTTCAACTTATATTATTTGTATCTACAACAGTAACAAAAAAAACTTATTTTTCAAACAATCCGATCAATTGACCTATCACAATAAGTAACGCGTTGATCGTGATTGGTTGCGGAATATCAAAAATGGCTTTATCGCGTCATTGGTTAAAATTCACTTTTTTTTGACAGGAGGAGCTTAGATTAGTAAAAAAAAACATGAATAATTATTTTAAACTACCAATAGGAAACAAATAATGGAAATAACCTTTTTTAAGCCAATTGTAAGTAGAAAAGAAGATATGTTTGTATTAAAGCTGAAATGCAGCACGCGATTCGTATTTTTAAGTTACATCAACAATTCTTGTAAATTGTGATTTCTGTTGTGTTATACAATTAGATTTTGATAGATTTTATGATAAATGATATTGGAGTGGCTCAAGGAGTCACAAAGCTATACTTGAAAGTATTATGAGTTGTTAAGTAGATTAAGATGATTTATTGTATGAATGTTGTTATTATGTTCAGATATCGGAGGCAAAACAGAATGAGATGCTTCAAGGAGCGTTATGTGAGATCGTGCGTCAATGCAGCACCGGGAAGTATTACGCTGCGTATTTGGATCATGGCGACGTGACAGCCGCATCGGAAACGACGATAAACGGTGACAGACCCTTCGAGGATGCCCTCCGACAGCAGACGTCGACCTCCTTCCACCCATCAAAATTCCACGCGAGCCTCCGACTGAAGGTGTTCAGCGACGCGGACGAGTTTGAAAACTACGTTTCGGAAAATGTTGTGAAATACAAGGGAGCTTACGGCATCCTTCTGTTTCTGTATTCTGTGATAGCGACGAAAGTAAGCGTATCAAATATGATGATTATTATAGAGTACTTGAAGTTATTTCTTTAAGGGTTTGAACCAAGTGCGCACGGAATGTGATACGAGTGAACCTTTGATCGATGCGACTTACGGCTACGGAAGTCAAAGTCTGATCAACCTCATGATCACCGGTAGAGCTGTGACTTATGTTTGGGATTTCGAGCAAGACGTCGGTGGATTGAGTAAGGCGTTATTCTTTTGCTTATTATTATTATTATCATTGGTTGGTTTGATTTTGATTTTTTTTTTTTTTTAATATTTGATCGATTTTAGAATTGAAAGGTTTGGAGAGGCAAAGCAAGATCGGCTTCATCACGCTGATGGAACACCTGAGATACTGTACGGTAGGTAGCTTCTTCAAGAATCCCGTGCATCCGGTGTGGGTCCTAGGATCTGAGACGCACTTAACAGGTTTGTGGATGTGGATTTTGCACTTTTTTTTCTTCTTCTAAAAGCTCAAAAAGGAAACCAAAGAGAGAGAAAAAATCAATACTGTCTTAACGATATCATTGGATGCTCTTTAAATGTTCAAACAACAGTTGCTTTACAGTGCTGTTCAGTACCAACAAGCGGTTAGTGAGTCCGGAGACGAAGAGCGAGCAGGCGCGACGCATCTTCAAGAACTACGACAAGGACGGCAACAACTTCATCAGCTCCGACAAGTTGCAGGATGTTTTATACGAATTGGAGCTAGTCAGTGATGAAGCTTAGTAAGTACTATAATTGCTTGAAATCCTTGATCGATTCCAAACATTTCTTTTAAATAGCGTCGATATAATGAAGAAGAAACTGGACTCGGAACACCTGGGTATAATCCTGCTGAATGCATTTATGGACGAGTTCTTCCCCAAGGAGGAGTCTTCGACGCCAGACACTTTCCAGTTGATGCATTACAACGGCTTGGGCCAAAGCAATTACGATGGCAACGTACGTATCTTCATCATCTTAACATATTTCAAGAATCATTTTTCTGATTGTTGTTGCAGGTTATATACAGACACGGCACAGCCATCCTGCTTGAATCTGACTTACGTGCAATGTGCGAATCTAATCCGATGCTGACGTGCCTCCTCACCAAGTGGCCAACAATCGAGATCAATTGGCAGGACAATGTAACGCCTTCGTTGAATTAGTGTTGTATTAATTATTTTAATCGTAAAGAATTCACGTTATATTCTATATGAGAGATGACAAATTTATGTATATATAGAAATATATATTGAAAGTACAGAAATTGTAAAAAAAAATAACAAACAAAAAAAACCTATGTAAAAATAGCGTATACGTAAGCTTTAAAAAGGAAGAGGAAAATGGAAGAAGAATAAGAGAAGAAGAGTAATTATTATTATTATGACTAATTCACATATAATTTATTGAATCTTAGAATTACTTTTTTCCGGTACTTTGCTTTCATTTTCTCTTTCGATTTGTTCATTTCTTTCTATTGTTTTCTTTCCATCTTTTGTTTAACTGTATTGTCGATGTTTGCTTTCATTATCATCTCTCTATCATTATATTTACTGAAGAAAAACAACAACAAAAAAACGAGCGGAAATAATAATAATAAAATTGTAGCTTCAAAATTCCAAATACTTTAGACTTAACGAAACGCTTATTAATAATAATAATTCGAGGCTTTCAGGAAACCAAAAAGAAAACAAATATTTATAAATATATAGAAAAGATGTATATTCAAGGAAAACTTGTGTCCTGTAATTTGTTTTTATATTATTTTTTTTGTGTGTAAATTTTCTTTTCTCCTGTGTAAATCTCTTACATATGAGAATTCGCATTGATTTGATATGTTTATTTCGACGAAGGCAGAGGAAAAATATATATATAATAATAATTGAGGTGAATAAAGTATTATTATTAAATTTTTGTTTCTTAAAAGAAAAAAATAAGTACAAATCTCTTTATTCTTTGTTTGTGTGTGCCTGTTGTGTATATCTGTTGAAAATCACTTTTAGTGTATACATTTTCTTGTTGGTTTGCCTTTTTTTATATATATATTATAGAGTAATATTTTTTAAATATCTTTCCATTTGGTAAGTTTTTTTTAATTAATAAATCTTTCATTGAAACTAAAATAATAAAAAGATTTATATTTTTTCTTAAAAAAATGCAATTTCTTTATTTCATTCCTTTTGCAACTTATATAATTAGTTTCCATCCCTTTTTTATTGTGTGTTATTATCAGTTTACTTGCTTATGTTTTTAGATAAGTTATCATTATCTTAGAGAAAACGCGTAGTATAAGCTAAAAACTAATTTAAACTAGAGTTTAGGAAATTTTGAATGTAATGCAACCAAACTGACTCATCACGAATATTTTTCTATAACTATAATTAATTATCACATAAATAATATACGAAAAATGCAATAAATGTCTAAAATAGACAATATAATTTAAAAAAAATCTAAAATTTTTTTTGGGAGAAAAATTAAATCTTTAATTAACAAATTAAATAATTAACCGAAAATACAACACATTTATTTTCAAAGAATAAAAGCATAGATTAATATTGTTAGAGCTTATTATTTACAAAGAATCTAATCTATTTCAATATTTCTACAGTAACTAAATTAATAAATAAATAATATCTACTAGACATAAGCTGTTTATTTATAGAGAAAATTTCAAATATTGAAATAATCTAATCAAAGTCGATATTTCGATATAATCCAAAAATACAATACATATTTTTATCAAATAAAAAATAAATATTGAAATAATGTTAATAAACAAGATTGTAGTGACTAATAATAATATAATTGTTAAAGTTTACTTTATGCAAGTAATCTAATGTAAATTCCAAGCAATGAACGTACGTAATGATATATAAATAAATACGGTGGCAATCGCAAGCCCGACAACTGAAATACCGTCAATCAAATTCCCGACGTTTGCAATCCCGACTATAACGAAAATGTCTACAATAACATTTTTAAATTGTTATTAATAATAAATAATAGCCATTAATAATCTAATTGTATTTGAGAATATTTCATAATGTTAAGGTTTATTTTCAATAATTCAACAAAATCAAATAAATAATAATTTATTGTTATTAATAATAAAAGTGTAGCACAAGGTGATTTCAAAATGTTATTGTAAAAATTTTCGATATAGTCGGGATTTTGATATAGTCAGGATTATGGTTGTCGGGATTATGGTTGTAGGGATTTTGATACAGTCAGGATTATGGTTGTCGAGATTCTGATACAGTCGGGATTATGGTTGTCGAGATTTCGATACAGTCGGGATTTCAATAGACGGTCTTTCGGTTGTCGGGCTTGTGATATAGACCCAAATAATTACGGTTGTGAAAACTGAGATTTAGAAAAACAATTTTGAAAGGTTTATATAAAATTTACAAAACATTCTTTATTGGAAATGATTTATATTGGATTTTTATTATCAATGAAGTATAACAATTCAATATTTTATTATTGATAATATTTTTAAAAAAATAATTGTAATTTGACGTTTCATTATATTAAAGACGTCAAAATTATGAAGTTCCAAATTAAAAAAAACAGGTTATAATTTGGTAATTTTAGAAATCATTGTCAATTCTAATGTTAATATTGATGATTTAATAATTTTTATTGAATTTCGTTATTATTGTCAATCTGTAATATTAATTAATTTTGTTGTGATAAGATTATGAAATAATTCAACATTACATAATTTTTGACATATGTCATTTAATGTCATTATGTAATATCAAAATTGAATGAAAACCTTTGAAAAATGCCATCGAATTAAATAGAATTTATCAAAATGCTTGTATTTTTGAGGAATTATAGAAAATCATTGTTATTTTGTATGCATTTCTTTTAGATTATTTTTGTTAATACAGAAGTTTATTACGTATCAAGAATAATATTTTGAGCAAAAAAAAAAAACAAAAATTTGTAAATATATAACTTTTCACTCAATTGTTAAATTATTCAATAATTCAAATATGAACAAAAATGAATAAAAACATTTGAAAAATGCCATCGAATTAAATAGAATTTATCAAAATGCTTGTATTTTTGAGGAATTATAGAAAATAATTGTTATTTTGTATGCATTTCTTTTAGATTATTTTTGTTAATACAAAAAAAAAACAAAAATTTGTAAATATATAACTTTTCACTCAATTGTTAAATTATTCAAATATGACATTACATAATCTTTGACATATGTCATTTAATGTCAAACATTATGTAAGCAGAAAATTGAATAAAAACATTTGGAAAATGCCATCGAATTAAATAGAAATTATCAAAATGGAAGTACAGAATACGCATTTATAAAAAAAAAATTGTAAACAAATAATTTTGTACTCAATTGTTATATTATTCAATAATAATTCAAATATGACAATTAATTAATTGAAAGATGTCATAATTATTATATAATTTTATAAATGAAAAGGTTGCTTTTAAGATATTTGCTAAACTGTAGATATTTTCATTGATTTTCCAAGTGTCTATTTCTATTCGTGAAAATCAGTGCCTTCTGACCTAAATAAAAATCGAATGTTTGCGTTCCACTGTGTATTAAAGTTATGTGTTTAAGTTCTAATGTAATGTGTTTGAATAAGTTAGACAATCGTTTCTGAGTAAACAAGATTTAGATAAATTCCATCTCTATCTAACCGGCGCTTCCGCCGAATCCTAATTTTCGGAGATCTTTGTCTACTGGTTTTTGTTTTTTTTTTTCATGTGTTGCGCTCTCTTCTATTTTATTAGTGAGTAAGTAGTAGTATGCAGGATAGTAGCTGTAGTTTCGGATTCAGTTCCGTTATGTGACTCGGAGTGAATAGTGCTTGTCCGGGAAAAATGGCGTCGAGTCGGTGCAGCTCCCCAGACGACGACGGCTACAAAAGATTCACCGATGAAGCTCAACAGAACTACGGATCAAACGATCCCGCCGCCAGTAAGTCTGGTCTACTACAATTCAATCTTATTATTATTGTTGTTGCTGTTGTTGATACGCGTACGCCGCAATCAATCGTCCTTATCAATCATATGATTTCAAGTGGAAGACGCGGCGAAAAAGAGAGTTGAGAGCGAGAAGGATGACAGCTAGCAGCATGCGTGTTAGACACTTGCCAAATCTTTTCGTTCCACGCGATATTGATCATTATTTTCACAAGGCATTAGGAGGAGAACGCGCGATTCTCATTCAGTATATAGGGTGGACTCGCTCGCATCCTTGTTATTATCATCATCATCATCATTTCTTTTTCATTCAGTTGATGTGACGAAACCGGAAAACCGGAAGTCGGTGCGTTATGAATGGAACGGTCGTTAGATCCGAGATCAAGGAGTGCGGTGCTCTGTTGAACGCTAAAAAGTGCGAGGATGTTTTGGAAAATATTGTCCTGGGTAAATTTTTGTTATTGTTTAAATAATTTTTTTATTTTAAATGTTACGTACACACCGTATCCAGTAACTCAATTATCACTTGTACCAAGGACGTTTGTTCAACAGTTTTTTTTTTTTTGATAATTTTTCGTAATTCAATCGTACTTTTTTTTTTGTAAATTACAATTTTGATTCTAATTCACGTGATGAGTCAGTGAGTATAATTGGAGTTTTGTAAATTTGGGTCATCTGCCAAATATGTGCATAAAGCATGGCCATATTGCGTGAAAAATTGTACATCCGTACACACCTTAAGGGCGTAGATTCTTATTTATAGTTCTTAATACAATCCATCACCCTTATTTATACTCTTAACATCACTGTTATTTATAGATTTCATTACAATATTTATTTACGTGACATTTAAAAAGAAATATTTATTATTAAAAAAAATGTCCAATCTTACTTATTTTTCCTCAAAGTTTAATAATTTGATGAACTTTTGTTTTTTTTTTATAGACTAAATCTATATTCTTTTTAATTGAATTTTTTTATTAATCCTAATTTCAGTTAATGTTCAACATTTGTTGAAGAAAATTTATCAATTAATAAATAAATATTTCGTTCAAAATATTGATGAAAACTTTGTTTTTCAAACAAACTATAAATGTACTAATATGTTATTTTGTACATAAACTTTGACATTCAATTTCAATATATTGAATATGAATGTAATTTGAATTGGATTTTCATAAAGTTTTGTTTTTTTTATAGACTAAATCTATATTCTAATTAACTGATTTTTTTTATTAATCCTAATTTCAGTTAACGTTGAACATTTGTTGAAGAAAATTTATCAATTAATAAATAAATATTTCGTTCAAAATATTGATGAAAACTTTGTTTTTCAAACAAACTATAAATGTACTAATATGTTATTTTGTCCGTGAACTTTGACATTCAATTTCAATATATTGAATATGAATGTAATTTGAATTGGATTTTCATAAAGTTTTGTTTTTTTTTTATAGACTAAATCTATATTCTAATTAACTGATTTTTTTTATTAATCCTAATTTCAGTTAACGTTGAACATTTGTTGAA